ATCCCAGGGTCCTGGGATCGAGTCCCACATCGGGCTCCCTGCTCGGCAAGAAGCCTGCTTCTCCCTCTCCCATTGCCCCTGCTTGTGTTCCTGCTCTCACTATTTCTCTCTCTGTCAAATAAATAAATAAAATCTTTAAAATAAATAAATAAAAGATTTATTTATTGATTTGAGAGAGAGAGAGAAAGCACGTGTTTGGGGGTGGGGGGGAGGGACAGAGGGGGAGAGAGAAAGAGAAACCCAGACTCTGTGTTGATTGAGGAGCCCCACATGGGGCTCGATTCCGTGATCCTGAGATCACGACCTGAGCCAGGAGTCAATCGCTTAATCTGCACCACCCAGGGGCCCCACCATCTAACTTTAGAACATTTACAATCATCCCAAAAAGAAAGCCAGTGCCCATTTGATGTCACTCTGTGCCTCTGCATACCCACACCAGGCTTTCTGTCCCCACAGGTTTACGCAAATCACATTACGTGGCATCAGACAATACGTGGTCTTTTGTGACCAGCTCCTCTCACTAGGCCTGTTCTCAAGTCTCATGTTCTGACACCTGTCAGTACTTTACTCTTCTTACGGTTGAATAATATTGCATTGTGTGTATATACATCACATTTTGTTTAGCCGTGAGTCAGTTGACAGACATATGGGTTCTTTCCACTTTCTGGCTATCATGAATAATGATGCTATGGTTCTATGAACATCTGTCTACAGGTTTTTGTGCAGACAGATGTTTTCAGTTCTCTTGGGTATAGACGTAGGAGTGGAATTGCTGAGTCATATAGTAACTCCACATTTAACTTTTTGAGGAACTAACAAACTACCTCTTAAAGTAGTTGTGAGTTTTCTTAATGCCATTGACAGTCTCTCACTTGCAGAGAAAGGCTTCTTCAGAATTCACTTTGACTTTTAAAAATTAATACTCAAAATAAAATTTAAAAAGTAAATAAAATTAGGGGGCACCTGGCTGGCTTAGTCCATAGGGCATGCGACTCTTGATCTTGAGGTCATGAGTTCAAGCCCCACAGTGGGCATAGAGCTTACTAAAAAAATAGTAATAATAAATAAAATTTTAAAAACTAATACTCGGTTTCTTAAATTGCAAATTTTAAAACATAAACATTTTTAAAACTTTTAAGTTCAATTTACCTGTCATATTTTAATCATAAATCCAGTAAATGTTAATAATAACTTTTAAGGGGGCTTTGATTAATAATTGGTCCTCTTTTCAAAATTGCAACTGCTGGGATGCCTGGGTGGCTCAGTCGGTTAAGCGTCTGCCTTCGGCTCAGGTCATGATCCCAGCGTCCTGGGATCGAGTCCCGCATCGGGCTCCCTGCTCCGCAGGGACCCTGCTTCTCCCTCTGCCTCTGCCTCTCTCTCTCTCTCTGTCTCTCATGAATAAATAAATAAAATCTTTAAAAAAAAAAATTGCAACTGCTCTAGGTAGTTTATGTTGTATTTATTCATCCCAGATCTTCTACCTCCTTTTTAAAAGGAATTGATTGTTACATGTCAATTATATCTCATAAAGCTGGAAAAAAGTAAAGCAAAATAAAAATAATTCAATTATCTTAAAAAAAAAGAAACCGGCCTCCCAAGTACTTTAACTGCAATCTACTAAAAGTAAACATATAAATACAGTAAATTTGGGGGCACCTGGGTGGCCCGGTTGAGTGTCCAACTCTTGATATCCGCTCAGGTCTTAATCGCACTGAGCTCCATGCTGGGTGTGGAGCCTACTTATAAATAAATAAATAAATAAAGCGAATTTCAAGGTTTTTATTTTATTTTATTTTTTTAATTTTAAGATTAAAAAAAAAATGTTTTGGTTCTACTTACAATCCCAGTAAGCATTTAACTTCAGAGTTCAGTTTAAATCAATTATTCAACTGCTTAATTTATTAATTTTTAAAGATTTTGTTTTACTTATTTTTTTTTTAAGTAATCTCTATACCCAAAATGGGGCTTGAACCCCCAAGCACCAAGATCAAGAGTTCCACCCTCTTACGACTGAGCCAGCCAGGTGCCATTCAACTGCCTGATGTAAATTAGAATCTCAAGACTTCTCTTTTTTTATTTTTATTTTTTTTAAGATTTTTTATTTATTCATTTGGGAGAGAGAGAGAGCGAGAGTATGAGTGGGGGAGGGGGTGGTCAGAGGGAGAAGGAGAAGCAGGCTCCCCGCTGAGCAGGGAGCCCAATGGGGGGCTCCATTCCAGGACCCTGGGATCGTTACCTGAGCTGAAGTCAGACGCTTAACTGCCTGAGCCACCCAAGTGTCCCTCAAGACTTATCTTTTAAGCATGCTTCCACACCAAATTAAAGAACTTGAAATACCAAATACGCACAATATGACACACACAAAAATTAATATTTTTAGTTCGACTCTCTCAAGCAATTCTACACATAATTCTAAATCTTCCCAAAGTTGATAGATAATTACCTGATGAGAAGACATTGGAAGATTACCTTCCTGAGGGCTATGGTGGGGGCTGGGGGGCAGCTCCTTCAGTGATTGAGGTTTTTGGACAAGAGTTTTCTTTTTTTGTTACTCTGTTGGGCTGAGCCCCTTTTAATAGCCACTATGATGCAGACTTGAAAACTTACAAGGTGGGGACCAGATAGCCCACAGCCTGGGGTTTGAGTCCTATCATAATTCAGTTTTCGTCTTTGGTACTGATTACTACCCATGCTGTGGAGCTGCTTGTTCGGATTCAATGTATTGTCTATTTGCTGCTTCATTTTTCTTTGAATTATCTCTAGGAGCCAGACTGGCTTGGGTTGAGTCCTGGCTCTGCCAATTACAGCTGCCCCTTGAACAACATGCGGGTTAGGCATGCCAACACCCCCCCTTTCAGACATGGTTGAAAATCTGGGCATAGGGGCACCTGGCTGGTTCAGTGGGAGGAGCATGTGACTCTTGATCTTGGGATCATGAGTTAGAGCCCCACATTGGGTGTAGACATCACTTAAATAAATAAACTTAAAAAATAAAACTGAACATTGTGTTTAAAGAAAAAAAATTTAAAAAAAGAAAGAAAAGCCAGGTATAACTTTGACTCCCCCCAAATTTAACTACTAATAGCCTACTATTGACCCAAAGTCTTACAGAACATAAAACAGTTGATTAACACGTATTTTGTATATTCTATTATTATATACGGTGTTCTACCAATAAAGTAAGAGAGAGAAAATGTTATTAAGAAGTCATAAAGAAGAGGGTTGCCTGAGTGGCTCAGTCGGTTAAGCATCGGACTCTTGATTTCGGCTCAGGTCATGATCTCAGGGTCGTCGGATCGAGTCCCCTGTCTGCTTGAGATTCTCTCTCTCCCTTTCCCCCGCCCCTCCCCCTCTCTAAATAAATAAATAAAATCCTTAAAAAAAATAAAGAAATCATAAGGAAGAGAAAAGACATTTACAGTACTGTACCATATTTACTGAAAAACATCCGCATATAAGTGGACCCAGGCAGCCCAAACGAATGCTGTTCAAGGGTCAACTGTACCAGCTGCGTGACCCTGGGAAGGCATTTAACCTCTTGGTGCCTCAGGTTTCTCAGCCATAAAGTGCAGGGGAAAAAAGGACCTGCTCGCAGGGTTGGTCTGAATACTGAATGAGATCACGTGTGTGCAGCCCTCCAGAACAGTGCGGGCCTACGGTAAGCATGGCTGCAGGGTTTGCTGGGATTGTCATTGTTACCAGCATCACTCTCACATGTGGTCCTATACACGTGGCTCCCAATGGGTTCTACACGTGTGAGGCCACGTCTGACTCAGGGCCATAACTTTCAAGGTCACTTTTTTTTTAAGTTTATTATTATTATTATTATTATTATTATTATTATTATTATTTAGTAATCTCTACACCCAACATGGGGATCAAACTCATGACCCCGAGATCAAGAGTCACATGCTCCTCCGACTGAGCCAGCCAGGAGCTCCCTAAGGTCATTCTAATGACCCATGTCATCCCCCTGCCATGTCAAATGCTCCCTCTGCAGGCCTAGCTCCAAAGCGCACAGTTCCTACCATTGCCTCCAAGATCTGGGTGTTTTGTGAGGTGTGTTGATGGCCCTTTAAGAGGCGGTAGCTGGCTGCCGGTTGCCATGGAGACAGCTGGACACAGCCGGGGTAGCAGAAGGCCGGCAGCATGTCCTCTAAACTTCAATCCACAGGTGGGAACAGGGCTGCTGGGACAGGAAATTGAAGAGGAATCTTCCCCTCTTCTCCCTCACAATCCTCCTTGGGGTGGCCTTGGGGGATTCTGCTTTGGGGACCCCTGTCCCACCCCTGTCCCTCTCCCCAAGGTTGCCATCTCAGCCTCTCCTCCCTCTCTAGGCCCCAAAGCCAAGGACCACCAGCCCTCAGCCCAAGAGAGTCTGCCAGCCCCAAAGGCCAATGCTGAAGCCATCCACTTCCTCAGCAACCTCAGTGAGCCTGGACAGTGGGGGCGTGGGGGGCACAGATGTGAAGGGGAGGGAAGACAGAAGGCCCAGACCTGGCCCCGTCTCTCTCAGCCTTGATTCCCCTGGGACGCAGAAAGGGTTCGAGGCCTATTGATAGATAGATAGATAGATAGATAGATAGATAGATAGATAGATAGATGATAGATATAGATAGATGATAGATATATTTTTTTAATACAGAAAGGTTTTTTGTTTTTTGTGTATTTTTTTTAAGGTTTTATGTATTTATTTGCGAGAGAGAGAGAGACAAATAATGAGAGACAGCATGAGCAGGGGGGAGAAGGGGAAGCAGACTCCCCGCTGAGCAGGGAGCCTGACATGGGCTGGATCCCAGGACCCTGAGATCATGACCTGAGCCGAAGGCAGATACTTAACCGCCTGAGCCACCCAGGTGCCCTGATAATTGTTTTTACTTTTTATTTATGTATTTATTTATTTTTGATAATTGCTTTTTTTTTTTAAGATTTTATTTATTTATTTGACAGAGAGAGACGGAACACAAGCAGGGGGAGTGGGAGAGGGAGAAGCAGGCTTCCCGTGGAGAAGGGAGCCTGATGCGGGGCTCGATCCCAGGACCCTGCGATCATGACCTGAGCCGAAGGCAGATGCTTAACGACTGAGCCACCCAGGTGCCCCTGATAACTGTTTTTAAAGATTTATTTATTTGGGGCACCTGGGTGGCTCAGTCAGTTAAGCGTCTGACTCTTGGTTTTGGTTCAGGTTATGATCTCAGAGTCCTGAGATTGATCCCCACATAGGGCTCCCTGCTCAGCAGGGAGTCTGCTTGAGATTCTCTCTCCCTCTGCCCCTCCCCTCCCCCTGCTCATGTGCTCGTGCTCTCTCTCTCTCTAAAATAATAAATAAATGAATCTTTAAAAAAATAAATAAAAAATAAAAGATTTATTTATTTATTTGAGAGAGAGCACAGAGGGAGAGGGAGAAGCAGATCCCCACTAAGCAGAGAGCCCCATGCAGGGCTCGATCCCAGGACCCTGAGATCAGGCCCTGAACAGAAGGCAGACACTTAACCGACTGAGCCACCCAGGCGCCCCTATTTGTTGATAATTGTCAAGGGAAGACCCCAAGGACGTGGGGACTGGGGGTGGTGGCGGGGTCTTCACCTGCTGGCTGTTGTACAGGCCAAGGGAAGGGAGCCAGGAGCTGCCTGGGACCCGGGGGATGAAGAAGGGGTGGGTGGGACCCTGCTGGGGGGAGGGTCAGAGAGCCGAGGCCCAGGAGCTGGGGCTTTATCTGCGCCCATGGGACCCCCACCCCACCCCCAGAGCAGGAGGAGCTGCAGATGCTGCTATTCTCCGAGACTCTGGCCATGGTCTCGGACACGGGGGAGCCTCAGGGAGAGCTGATCATTGAGGTGCAAACAGGGAAATACACAGACGAATCTGGTGTGAGGTCGCACTGCCTCCTCGTGCACGCCTTTAGCCGCGGCTTCATGGACAAAATGCTCTGCGGAAACTCCCTCCTGGGTAGAGTTCTTGCTGCCTGATGCTTCACCTCCATCCTTCCTCCCCTCCCTCCCCTCCCCATTCCTAGGACTTTCACTCAGGACCAACCCTTGACTTCACCTTGGGACCAGAAGGCAGCCAGGAGGGTGTGTGGGAGGTGGGGGTGACAGGGACGTTAATCATAGCCACAGACTTAACGACAAGAGCACCACTTAGTTTTCCCTGCAGTCACAGTCCCCCTGAGTCCTCCAGCCTGGGCCCCTGCCCTTCCACCCTGCAGTCTCCCGGCCTGTCTCCGGTGACAGGGTGATGGGACAGCAGCATTCTCCTCCTGCCCCAGGCTACCTCTCATGGAACCTGCATATCATGGAGCAACATAGTCAGGAGTTCATCAAGGTACCTCCTGGGGCCCCCAGCCTGGACCCAAACCAGGGTGAGAGAGTGGAGACCCTGGGAGGGAGGGAGGGAAGAATGGAGGGGCTCAGTGGAATGTCACCCCCGACTCTCTCCAAGTTACCCTGCAGTCCCCACCACACATAACCTGGAAACCAATCCATCCGGGGCAGCAGGTTGCTTCTCGTGACCTTCTCCTAATACACGATCCCTGGGTCCAGTCCACCCGGGGCCTTCTCCAGGCTGAGAGCCCAGCATCTCCCGGAGGGCCATGCAGGCCAGCCTTTCCCAGAGCCTGGCCTTTCCCAAGGGCCTGTCACCCCCTCACCTCCAAATTCTCCTGCTCTGTGCCTCCCACACCCAGCCCCAGCCACCTCACTAACTTCTGGAACGTGATCAGTGTTACACATTGGAAAGCACTCATGCCTAAGAACCTTCCCACAGAAACCATTCCCATCTTTTAAAACCTGTATTCTGAGGGCATTTGCTTTTTACCTTTATATTACACCATAATACGCCTTCTGTTCTTGAACTTCACTACAAAGGGAAGATTTCTATCCAAACTTCCCTCAGTTTTCTCATTTCTAAAGGAGAAGGGGCAAGGTGACCTGTGGGGGTTGCTGTTCAAGCTCCCGCTTCTCCCCTCCGTGCTCTGGCCCTTAGTTCAGAGTCCTCCCCATGGAGCGGAAGATGAGTTTGGTGAAGCAGGACGACCAGCTGGCCATGACCAGAAGGGTCAAGGAGGGTGAGGTAAGGGTGAGAGACAGGTAGGGGCCGTGCCCCATATCCTCTCCAAAGCCAAGAGCAGGGGCCAGATTGTGTCAGGCTGGGAGCCTGGCATGGGGACTCAGCAAGGACCCTATATGTGTCCAATACCTGGCTTCCCCGTCCTCCCCACCCCTTCCCAGATCGATGTCCCTGACCCAGATTTTTCCTGAACAGGAAGTCAAGACCGAAGTGACTTTTGTCCCGGGGAGCTCAACCATGGGCTTCATCTCCGAGGCTGCCAACCTGGTGTTGCTGAGGGTGATGGCCTGGCGCCAGACCGTGCCTAGCAGCGCCCGTTTCCTGGCCTTGGACACGGAGGGCAAATTCTGCTACTCTACTTACGTGAGGGCTCTCCCTGGGTGGGGGACTTGGCCTGGGGAAAAACAGAAGGGGCACTACGGAGGCTGCTGAGGTGGGAGAAAAGACAGCTTTGGGGTGGAAGAGCGGGTGAGCTGGGGCCCCGGGGGTGGGACTTCCAAGGGCAGGAGAAGGCAAGACTTCATGTGTTGGAAGATCACGTGGGGGGCAGGTGGTGGGAAAAAGAGGAACCAAAGCGGGGAGCAGTTGAGAAGCAATGTTTTTTGCCCAGAAGTCAGTCCAGGAAAAATAAACATAGCGGAGGGCTGCTATTAAAGACAGATTTTTTTAACATCAGGAAATGCACCATTTCCAATGGCACTTTTATTATGTTCTTTTATTATGTCTCAGACCTGAAAGGTGTTCCGTTTTTGTTTTTGTTTTTTGTTTTTTGTTTTTTTACTTTTCTTGTGGCTAAAACTTCATAATCAACAGACCTAGGACTTCCTGCAATGTGAGATTTTAAAGCCATGCCTCTAAACACACATTTTGGGGGCTGATTTGACCAACTTTGTAAATGACATTCTAGTCTTTTCTATCACAAACATGACAAACGGCAATGTGTTTGACACAAACAGGCCCATGTCACTTCCCCCATCTTCTTTTGAAACACATGTCTGTATTAGCCCTTTTCCACCCGCGGCCACAGCTGCTCTAGGGGTTTACGTTCTAACAACAACAGGGCAGCATGCCTGCAGCAGCAGGGGCCTGAGGAGGCCACAGGTGGCAATCTAGCCCCCTCCTCAGAGCATCGCTGCCCCCCCCCATGCTCCCTGCCCCCCAGGCTCACACCTTGGTTGATCCTCATCCCTGTAACTGAATCTGCCAACCAGAAGCACTTGGTCATCAAGATGATGACGGGAGGGTTGGGGCGTAAGCAGCATGGAACTGGCTTTCTATGAGGGGACCCCCACTTAACTTGGGGGTGCAACTCAAATCCTGTGGCGGCTGAGGGCTTGGACAGCCGAAGGTTGCTTATCACTGATAAAGAATGAAGCGGCAAGATGGAGAAAAGGGCCGGGGTGAGATTTGGGAGAGATCCTGGTGGGCATCCACCTCACCTCCCTCCCTCTATCTTGGCCGCTGCCAGCAAGATCTGGGCTTCCAGAAGATCCAGGTCGGCCGCCAGCAGGTGGAAGTGTTCATCGTGGAGCAGACTGTCCACTCAGTTAAAGGCATCCCCAATTCCTGCCAGTTCTACCTGCTCTCGGATGGGTGAGCTACTGACAGTGCGGAACACAATCCTGGGTGCTGGGTCCTGGGGGCGGGCATGGGGCAAAGGGAGACTACTGTCCCTGGGGACACCACCAGGAAGAGTGCCCCCTTGCTTGATCCACATCATTCACTCTTTCTTCACATATTTACTCCTGATTCATACCGTGCCCAATCCGGGCCCGATGCCTTCACCTGATGCGTACCGTAACTCCCAAACCTCACCAAGGAGCCCTGAACGGCTCAGAAAGTCAATGCTGACCCCCCAAGCCTAAGGCACAGTAGCTAAGCAGCTGCCACAGCTGGGTATAATACCAAAAAGCACCGAGGTCTGAACAACGTGACACTTGATAGAATCAATGTGGTTTGGGGGGAGGGGGGGACATCCTGGCACATGGCCAAGCTGTCACCAGCGGGACACAGGCCCCACCCAAATCATGAGAAAATTGGGGAGGGAGGGAGGAAGAATTTGTTTCTTGAAATTTCCAGGGGCACCTGGGTGACTCAGTTGGTTAAGCGACTGCCTTCGGCTCAGGTCATGATCCTGGAGTCCCGGGATCGAGTCCCATATCGGGCTCCCTGCTCAGCAGGGAGTCTGCTTCTCCCTCTGGCCCTCCTCCTCTCATGTGCGCTCTCTCTCTCTCTCTCAAATAAATAAATAAATAAAATCTTTAAAAAAAAAAGAAAAGAAAAGAAATTTCCAAAGAGGTATTGATAGAATCATTACACTGGGGAAAAAGTAATTGGAACATTGTTGGCTTTCCTTATTTGATAACTTAGCACGTTGTTTCGATTTTGGGTGTCACATAGCTGGAGGCTCATGATTTTTTTAGTGCACACCAGCACACATCTCCAAGGGCATGGACAAGACCCAGTTTGAAAAGCAGGGGCTGTTATTTGGGGACCCTGGAACTCAGAGATAAGCAGTGTTGGGGAAGCAAGAGCAAAGGGAAGCCCCCAGGACGGCTCTCAGGGGAGTGGGCTGGTCTGGGAAGACTGCCACTCTCACACTTGTGTTGTATTCCAGGCACCTGGCCAAGAGAATCCAGGTGGGTTCCCCGGGGTACTGCACGATCACCCAGATGCCTGTCTTGAGGGAGAAGGGTGAGTGAAGCCTCTGGCTGGCGCAGAGTGAAGGAGAGGTGGGAAAACCTGGGACCTTCCAGCGTGCAGAGGCTGGACTGAGTAGAGATGGAGAAGTTTTGCCCTCCAGCCCCTGACCCCAAGGCAATTAGGGGAGGATCATTTTGCAGGGAACCCCTTCCAGCAACTGAGCCGAACCCTGGGGCTCTACCCGTGACGGCAATTTGAGTATTCTTGGGCATCCCTCTGTATCTGGGGAAGGTTCTGGGGTGAGGGTGTGCAGCCTTCCTTCCCTCCGCACCCAGATGAGACTGAGCCTAGCCCCGCATTTGAGAAGAAGCCTCTGGTGTGGGAGGAGGATATGGAACTCTACTCGAGGTTCCTGGACCGGAAGGTGAGGAGAGACTGCAGCCAGCCTGGGGTCCCCATTTCCCCCCTGCCCCGCCCCCCGAGCATAAATTCCACCAGCACTGATCCCTCTTTGTGCCTGCTTGAAATGCACACCCCGATGGCTGGGAGGCGCTCCTTAGAGCGAAGGGGGCGGGGGGTGCTCCTGGGGCGCGGGGTCCCGGGTCCCCGGGTCCCGCTCAGGCTCGGTCCCGGCCAGGAGGAGCTCCGTCTCAGCCACACCAGCTATCTGCGGCAGCACCCCGAGGCCCAGGCGCTCATCTCGGACTTCCTGCTCTTCCTGTTGCTGCGCCAGCCGCCAGACGTGGTCACCTTCGCCGCCGAGTACTTCGGCCCCTTCGCGAAGCGCCACCCCCCGACCCCCGCCTTGCGCTCCTCCCACCGGCCCAGCCCCTTCCGCTCGCTGGACCCCCAGCGGCCGCCGCACTAGGGCCGGCCCCGCGCAGCATGCGGGGACCGGGCAGGAGGCCGGGGCGGCGCCGGGGACGCAGCGGGGAACCAGAGGGACTTACCCCCGAGGCGCGCCTTCCGAGCTGCGGGTTCTTTGGGGAATAAATGGGCCCCACCCCCGCGGTTCTGCTGTGGGCGCGGGAACCCTCCCTGGCCAGAGTCTTGTGTCTTGGCTAAAAAGAAGAACTGTTAACAGAGTTTACCCAGCGAATTTCACGCTTCTTCCAAGATGCTGTAATCAACAGTCCTATTTTACGGATAAGCAAATAGAGGCGCGGAAAGGTTAAGTAACTCACAGAGTTAGTACGTAGCAAGCAGGAGTCAAACTTGGACGTTGATGCCGAAACCCACACTCTCGGTCACTAGGTTAGTAGGGATAGAGGGGCAGGGCTTCTGGGTGCCACTAAGCATAAGCCAAATTACCCTGCTTCCACCCCACCCCCACCCCCCAACCAAGAAAAAGAGCAGGGGCTGGTGGGGGATCTGGATCCCCACTGGCCTCGCTCATCACCTCCGAAGCCTCCCAAAACACGTGGGCGGCCAGTTCTCACACTCTACCTCCTTTTCCAGTGACACACAGGAACCCCCAAACTGCATGCAGGGTCCCCAGTTACCGGCTCCCTGAGAAAAAAAGGATAGGCAGGAGATCATCGGCTCCTTTAGACTCCTTGTACAATGTCAATCTGGCCAATGGCTTTGTTTCTGCCCAGGGCTGGCCACGGCTCATCAGCAAATATTAGGCAAGCTTCTCCAGGACAGCTGGTAAAGGGGGTGCAGGCTCCATTCCTCCGTTTTCGCACTCATGGGCCCGCCTCTTCCAGCTGAAGAGACCCTGCCTCCCCCTCCCGTCCCCGCCCAAGCTCCACTTTGTGATGAGGGCGGCCGTGACTCTGGACTCAGGGCAGCAAGGCTTCGTGGAGAACTATCGCTTGAGTTGAGCCTTAAAGAATTTTTAAAAATATATTTTATTGTCCCCATAACCCTATTTCAAAAGAAATGCATCTTCACTAGAGAAAACTGAGAAAAGGGGGCTAAACCAAAAGAAGAACGTGAATTCACCCCAATTTCTCAAACTATAGGCTGCTGCTCTTAACATTTTGGCAAATATGCTCTTTACTCTTTTTTTGATGCATAAAAGTGGCCCATGTTTGTTCAGCATTTACTCTGTCAAGAAGTTTTTTGTTTACTGTCTTAACATTGCCTTTTTTTTTTATTTTTGAAGAATAGTTGCAATACAATATTATATTAGCCTCCCATTAAGCACTTTTTAAAAAATTCTTTTCTTTTAAGAAATCTCTACACCCAATGTGGTGTTCAAACTCATGACCCCAAGATCAAGAGTCACATGCTCCTCTGACCAAGCCAGCCAGGTGCCCCCATGTCAAGCACTTTTATATAGAATGTTTGATCTGTCTTTAAAACTCCAAGGGACTTTTTTTAAACAAAAATGAAATCATATAGTAATAATGCTCATTAACTGATAATTACATACTTAATTATATTCTTCAAAATTTCAGACATTACAGATAAAGCTGGAAACTTCTAGCCCCAATCTCCTCGTGTTTTGTAACTTTTTTCCTGTATTATAACTGGCTTTCTTTCTTTTTTTTTTTTAATTTTTTAATTTTTAAAAAAAATTTTTTTTTATTCTTATGTTAATCCCCAGGCTTTCTTTCATTTAACAATATATTTTGAAAGAATTCCATGGTATTATACAGTCCTCTATTTTTGATGGCTCTACCATAATTTTTTTAAAGATTTATTTATTTTAGAGAGAGATAGAGAACACGGTGGGGAGGGGGCGGTGCAGAGGGAGAGGGAGAGAGAGAATCCTCAAGCTGACTCCCCAAGGAGCACAGAGCCAGTCTTGAGGCTCCATCCCTGGGCCCTGAGATCATGACCTGAGCCAAAATCAACAGTTGACCAATTAACGGACTGAGACACCCAGGCGCCCCAGATGGCTCTACCATAATTTAACCAATCTCTCCCCACTGCTTGCTTTTTGTCTGTTTTTTGGGGGGGGTTGACTACTATAAACAGTGCTGCATTGAACATCTCTGTAGCTAAATCCTCCCATGTATCAACAATTATTTACCAAAGGATACATTCTCAGAAGTGTAATTGTTGAATTGATCTTAAGGCTTTTGTTTGTTTGTTTTAACATTCCCAGATTCTATACGTGTAGGATTTTTATTAAGGATCAGATAAAGCATTACAGGCAGAGGAAATGACATGAGTGAAGAGTAAAGGTAGGAAAGCGCAATGTGTGTTTCTGGTCTAGAGCAACTGGATGCCACAGATCTTCCCGCAGTGATGGAAATGGTCTGTATCTGCTATGTCCAATATGGTAGCCACTAGTCATATGTGGCCACTGAGTGCTAGAAATTGTGGTTCATATGACTGAGGAATTGGAGTTTTACCTTAATTTTACTTTTAATCTGGCCACATGTGGCCATATTGGACGGCAGCAGCTCTCTCAGAGGGTAAGGTCTCTCCATTCAACCTGGCACTCAGCTCAACAAATATGGGGGTCCCTTCCATGTGCCAGGATCCTTCTGGGCAGTGGGAGATCGGCAGTGACAGAACAAAGTTCCTGTCCTCACAATGCTTGCTGGTTGCACGGGGAGATAGTAAACACAAAAAATCATTTCATATGTGCAATTTCGGAATTTTATGGGGGAAAAAAAAGGTCAAGTCATGGGTAGACAGTGACTCCGGGTTGAAGGGTTGAGGGTGGAGATTTCAGGGAGGGCCTTCCTGGCCTCTCAGTTGAACTGGGACCTGAATGAATGCCAAGGAGTCAGACCTGTGGAGAGCTGTGGGAAAAGCATGCTAGGCAGAGGCAACAGCAAGCGCAAGGGCTCTTGAGCATGTTGCACTCAGAAGGCCAGGAAGGCTGGAGTACTAGTGTGCTCAGTCATCGTGAGGTAGGCAGGGCTGGGTCGCAGAGGGCCCCCCGGCCCTGGCAAGTTCACTTCATGTGTGGAGAACTGAAACCAAAGCTGCTCAGCCCAGCGCACCCAGAACACTCCACAGAGATCTGGAGAGTCATCTCCAGTCCCCGATGCTCTGGAAGGGCTGTGACATCTGACCCACTGAGTTCCTTCCTCTGCTGAGCTCCCTTGGATCCGGCGACTTGCTGTGGGAGTATCAAGGCCCGGCCCTACCCTCATGGCACACAGTCAGCCTAGAAGAGAAGAGACATTAGTCAAGGACCCCATGAATGAATGTGTGAGTGCAGAACATGGAAAGAGCTAAGAAGGAAATGTATACATGCAACAGCAGAGTGTTAAATGTGCACTTGACCTGGCGTGGGAGCCCAGGGAGGCAGAGGGAAATGAACAACAATAATATAAGAGCAAATGCTAGATAGCCCTTATTATTTTAATGCCTCTACATATGGTAATTCATGTGATTCTCACAACACCCCTTCTAGGTCAGTTCTATTATTGTACCCATTTCACAAATGAGGGAAAGGTTAAGGCCAAGACCATGCAACTGGCTAGTGGCAGAGCCAGGATTTGGACTCAGGGCATCTGGCTCGAATACATGTGTAAATTCACTCTGATAAACAGGTGTGGCTCTCTGGAGACAGATCCCAGAACAGGGAAGAGGCATCTTCCTGCTTTAGATACTTCCAAAGTAGGCTTGACTGTACACTGTCTTTCTCCTTCCCCAAGCACCCAGAAACTGCCCATTCCCTACTGCACTCTCCCTGACAGCAGCCTCACAGCTGAGTTGCATGGGAAGGGCATTGTGCTGAGGGAGCACACAGCCTGGGCCTGGAGAAATCAAAGAAGGCTTCCCGGAAGAGGTCACACCAGAGCTGCATCCTGAAGGACAAAATGCTGTTTGCCAGGCAAAGGGTGTGGGGGATGTTTGAGGAGGAAGCAGCATATGCAGAGTCCTGGAAGTGAAAGGCAGGGAGCTTGGAATGTTTTAGCTACTGCAAGGGTTCAGGATGGGATGGTGGAGGGTCTGGGAACCCAATGGAAGCACTGCCTGCTGTCCAGGAGACTGAAAGACCCTGGAGTGGGTCAGGCAAATGCCCACATGCCTGCCTGTGTGTTTTCTTTGCTCCCACAAGAAGCCGTAGGTGAGCAGATAAACTAAGAGCGATGCTACAGACAGATGGAGCCCCACAAGAAAAGTCTTACATTTAGACATTGGACAACAGACTCAAACCCGAGGGCTTGTAACGTCCTTGGAAGGTGCAGACGTGGCCTTCTGACTCTATTGCGAGCCTCCCCGCCTATGGTTGAATCAGCTGTTCCCCCAACACCAGCATCTGTCACAAAAGCTGTTCTTGTTCAGTTTGATGGTTTCCTCATTTTGTTTTATGAGATATCGCGTGCAACTGTCCCATTATCCCATCCTTACAGATTTCCCGTTTGAGCTGCGCTGAATCCAAAGGCTTGTGTGGGCAAGTGTGGGCACCCAACCACCAGGGGCTGCGATGTTAGTAGCAGAAAATGCGTCTGGGGTGCCGAAGGATTGGCGGTGGCCGGCGACATTTTGGAAACCCATTTAAAAAGCAGGTGCATTTCCTGCGCTTCACAAACACTCTTTGGGGTAAGTACTCTTATTATCCCCACTTTCCAGGCAAGGAAACTGAGGGCCTAGGAAACTTGCCTGTGTCACAGAACTAGTAAAAGTCAGATTCAAGCCCAGGCCATTTGATTCCAGAAGCTCTGGTGGGTGGTGGTGGGTGGTGTTTTTTAATCAATGTTATGGAAGTATAATATCCATTCAATAAAACCCATCTTTTCCCTCCACTTTAAATATTGAGATAATTGGGGCGCCTGGGTGGCTCAGTCGTTAAGCGTCTGCCTTCGGCTCAGGTCATGATCCCAGGGTCCTGGGATCGAGTCCCACATCGGGCTCCC